TATCATAGCATTCAGGTTCAAGTCGCCATGGAGGAGGACCCCCCCCGGGTGCCATCGTGGGCCCGTTATACATATGACCATGGGATCCCTCAGGGGGACCTAAGACACCCCGAACGCCTTCGGTTTGCACAATGGGATCGTACTGTGTACAACAAGGGGCAATGGGTGATGTTGGCGAGAATCCGTTTTCGCTTGGATTTCGACCCGAAAATCGACGCAGATATGTTAGCACCGCGTCGCAGACGGGGGGCGATTCCACTGGCTGCTTCGGCCGTGCCCGCGCGCCCGCCTGCCGCAGTGATCAGTGGTTTTAGTTCTCGCGAACTGCGAGCTCGATTGTTTAAAGTCTCATGGGTGGGTCGTTTGTTTCACTTCCACGTGCATCTTGGTCCCGTTGATTCCCGATTCGCGGCCTCGCGAGCTCAATCGACGCTTGCAGAGCACCCCAACGACAGCGAAGATAATAAAAAGGGGGGAGGGTGGAGCTCAAGAGCTTTAGTCCGAGGCCCTCGGAGTCCTCTATCGAGCTTCGGCACGACGCGCCCCCCTGCAAAAAAACGACGAGGCGGAGGCTGGAGGAAGGAAGGATGGAGAGGCGGAGGAGGAAGTTGGTGGAAAAGAGAAATACTTTTCAAACCTAGTTCGGCCGAAGCAGCCGATTAGCGGCGCAGTCAGCTACTGCCGCGCGCCGCGGCGGGCCCCGGGGCCGCCGAGAGGCCCCCAAGACGCCCCAAGGGGCCTTCAAGAAGTAAAGCCCCCCTCTTGCTTGATCGACGTTCTCTAAGATGGCCCCGAGAGGCGCGCTGCTTGACTATATGTCTCTCCCCCCCTCCCCCCGTCAGCCCTCGTGGGCGTCGTTTCTGGATGGGCTGGCGGGGATGCGCGAAGCGTCAAAAATTAAGTTGCATGGGGCGGAGAGTAGAGGAGGTGTCCTAGGCCACCTCGAGGGGCGATGACCTACGCTCAGTAAGAAAAAACTGCCGAAGCAGCCAATCGCGCTCTATGCGCCAGGTCCTTCAGTAGGGGCTGCAGCCGCCACTCGACGACGCCGCCCGCGCCGACGGCGCCGTGCCTGTCCGTTTCCACCGCGCCCCCTTCCACCGCGGATTGAAGGGGCCGTCCGCGACGCAGCTCCAGCACCAGATCTTTCGGGAGTGGATGGGGGGGGGGGGGGGAGGGATGGGCCTCGGGGGAGGATCGACGTTCCCCCCCCCCCCCCCCCCCCCGCCCTCCTGCCCCCCTCCTATGACGCCCGAAGAGATTCCAAGAGGCACGCAAGAAGCCTCTGGCTCTTCTGATCGCCCTCTTCCTCCTCCTCCTCCTCCGATTCCTCCTCGATCCTCGCCCTCTTGGGTAAGACGGGTTCCCCAGCCCTTGGTTACTCTGTATGCTCCCTCGCTGCCCTGATCACCTCCATTCACCTGGGCGCCGTTTCTGGATGGGCTGGTGGGGATACGCGAAGCGTCAAGAATTGCCTAGGCATCAGTGTCATTCGGTATGGGGTTGGGTGAGTCACACTGTGAGTTATGAACTTGAATGCGTCTGAATATGAGTGAGCATGCGTCGTCACGTTCCGTAGCCATCTTGTGTTCAAGGCTGCCAACGTATATTGTGTTCGAGGCTGCCAACGTGCCAACGTATCTTGTGTTCAGGGCTGCCCGCGCAAAAATGCAAGATGCACTGCCGTTTTTCCTCAGCGGCCGTTCGGGCGATTACGTTGACCTCGACCAGGACGACGTCACCCATGCGATTCGCTGCGAAGCAAATGCGAAGATGCGCACATTGGCGGAGGCGGCGCACATCCTGATTGGCGACGACACGTTCCAGCATCGCGTGGACAAGGACTTCAGCGACCTGACCACGATCGCAGCCCAGTGCCCGGGCGCTGACGGCCGCGGCGACACGCTGATCATGCTGACCGAGAAGTTTGAGCGCACCCAGCAGATGTGGCGGGCGGCCGAATGGGAGTTCACCACTGGGCTCATGAAAGAGATGAAGGCCAAACGGGACGAACTCCACGGCATGCGCAAGGGCGACGAGAAGTTCGACCAGGCGGCGAGTTCAGCTGGCGCCGACGCCACGCCTACCAAGGCCAAGGACCGCAGCCGTTCGCCGCCGAGCAATGAGGGGCTAGATTTTCTGACACGTTGGATCCGATGCCGCTATCGGACGATGACACGCAGAACACGTTGCCATTGAGGGGCCCCCGGGAGTCCGACGAGGATTCAGATAATAATTAGTGCTTCGTCGTCGGAGCGCGGCATTTCTGCGGCTGCTTCGGCCGCGGCTCTCTGGGGCGCAGAGGAAAAAATATAATTCCCCCTCATCCTCATCCTCCGCGCCCCCCATCCCTCCTGCGCCCTCTTGGGGCGCTCTTGGGAGCCTTGGGGGCGCTCTTGGGGCAATCGTGGAGGAGATCGCTCAAAAAGAAGGGCGGTGCCAATTCCCCTCGCCCCCTCGGATGCTCAAAAAAGCCGTCTTGGGGCCCTCTTGGGCCGCTCCTGGGGCGCTCTCGGGCGCTCTTGGGGTCGTCTTGGGGCCCTCTTGGGCCTTGGGCCCCTCCTGGGGCTCTCTTGGGCCATGTTGGGGCCATCTTCAGGCTTCCAAAGCCCATCGGGGGCGAAAAAACAAGAAGGCAAAACAAACGTTGATTTTCCGTAGGCCTCTGAAGGATGCCGGCCTCTTCGGGGGGTCCTCGGAGGGCCCAGGGGGCACTTGAAACCATCTTTGGGCCGTCTGGGGGCCTCTTAGATTCGCATCGGAGGCTATCTTGATCCACCTTGACCTATATTGGGCCATCTTGGAGGCCATCCTGGGCTCTCGGAGGCCCTCTTGGAGCCATCCTGGGCCATCTTGGACGCTCTAACTCTTCGCGGCCCACCCCGTCCAGGGTCAGGGGGGGGCGGGGGGGGGGGGGCAAATAAATGTTTTCCGAATAAGGGAAGGAAGGGGTTTGGGCAGTAAGACGACACAGATCGTTAAACCACCTACGCCCAGAGGGCCGGTGGGATTTGTTCCACAGCATCACCGCGAGCCCGATGCAGAACTGGACACGCAAACACACCTGATTCTCGTCAAGAACGAATCGACCGTGAATGCGCCCCGACGGTTATGAAAGCCAGGTTGTGCCACCTCGGGCGGCAAGACTAGCGCGAAGAGGTTGCCGGGCGCGTGCGCCTTCTTCAGCGCTGGCCAGTTAAACCCGCCAAGCCTCCATTTGCAGCCTGGAGTGTGCCTGATTAGGTTCTGTGCAAACTCGCCAAGCGTACGCTGCGTGTCTCTGAAGTCAGTGCTCAAAAACATTACTTTCTGCAAATGGTACGCTGGTCGCATTTTGACCCCGGCGCCAAAACGGCCTGAAATAAGAAACCCAGGGGCAATTTCATATCCCCCATTTGAACGCCGATGCAGCGGAAACGAACGGGCCAGCGCGCCCTAGTGTCCGCACAACAAAAACCTCAGCCTCGTGCATCCGCACTGATTTCAGGCGATGCGTGATGAGTGCGGCCACCACCAATGGCGACCTGCTAGGTCTATCCACGAAAACAAGCTTCCCCTTGATACCTTCTAGGAACTTGGCCGTTGGCGTGCCCAGCGCGGCCAATCGCGCGCGTTCGGTCTCACGCGATGTGGCCAATTGATCAGAAAGTTGTTCCTTGTGTCTGGCGGCGGCGTCTTCGCAAACAGCATGCGTCACTTCCTGTGGTAGGAGGACGTTCTCCGAGTATGCAATGCACCGTTTGGTATCATGCTTGTTCTTCAAGAAGTCGAGCTCCTTCTGGCGCGTGGCGCCCCAGTTCGAGCCTGGTCCGACCTCCCCGGTCGAATCGCCAGCCACTGTAACTGTATCCGAAACAGCGAGCCTCGCAGCCTTGCGGCGCTGACGAATGAATTCAGCTTCGCCTCCCTTCATCACTTGTCGTGGTCTCTTAAACGCTTTGACGACGCGTGGAACCTTCCTCACTGATGGGCGCCCACAGGTCTCAAGCCAAATCCGCCGGGCACTGTCAATGACTCGGCAAAGGCTAACGTCTGCGTTTCAGCCGCGGGAAGTGTTGACATAGGGGGGTCCTGGGGCTGTGTTCAGGTGGGTGGGGCTGTGTTGCACTTGTTTGCAGGGGGTCATTCGGTGTTGATATACGCCAACGTTTCGATGCGCAGAGATGTTTGCCTCCGCTACCATTGCGCTTTACATTGCCAAATCGGCATTGCAATTGGGCCCGACTCAACAACACTTTAACGCTCCGCCCATCACATCTACATCGTTCTACAATGCATATATAGCACGCGATCGAAACAGCAACGACGCGCACGATTCAATAACACCTACAAGTTTGCAACAATATCTCATCGCTAACACGTATAAACCATAACTACATACGCACATATTCACATCACTTTACTCATTCCCCTGGCGCATAATATAACGCCCGAGCGCGGTGGCGGAATCGCGCGGCAGCGCAACTGGATAATGCTCTCGCCCAGAGTTGCCCATCCTGGAGGGAGGCCCTCCTCCAAGATCTCGCGTCGAGCCTGCTCGCAGGCCCGCCCGCTCAGAGGTGAACGGGCCCCGCCTTGGAAGAGCCCCCGCCCATGCCAGAACTGGCGCTGGCCAGCTCGAAATCGACGGGCCCCTTGAATATCTTCGCCCGGTCGCCCTCTCGGGCCGACGGGCGGGGCGGGGTGGGGCCTGGATCCCCCCCCCCCTCCTCCTCCTCCCCCCCCTCCTCCTCCCCCTCCTCCTCCTCCTCCTCCCCCCCCATCCTCCTCCTTGCCCCCCTGCTCCCATTTCCTCCCCATCCTCCTCCTCCTCCTCCTCCCCCCCCCTTTCTACCCCCCCCCCCTCCTTCCTCGCCCTCCGCCCTCGCCCTGAAAAAGCCCACTTGGCGAAGACGCCCACGGCCTAAATATGCTTCTCATCCCTCCTCCCCCCTCCATCCCCCCTCCTCCTCCTCATCGCGTTTCCTCCGCTAAAATGGAGAATGCAAGCCCGATTCGGCCCGCGCGAAACCCTCCGCGTGCACCAGCGCTGGCAAGTCGCACGTGCACGACTTGCCCTCGATCGTGATCTCGATCTTCTTCTCGAAGCTCACCCTGTGCGTCGCCCGCATCGGCCCCTTCTTCGGAGTCGTCTTCCGAGCCCTCTTGGCTGGCGTAGCCGTCGCCTCCTCATCCTTGTCGTCGCCCTTCTGCTGCGGGGCGGTGGGAACCAGCCGCGCCATGCAAGCGTCGGCCTTCCTGATGTTCTGCACCGCCGCGCCGTCAAGAAACAACGCAGGTCCCAGCCCGGTCGAGCCCCCGAGAGGCAAGCAGTTATTCTTGGACACGTTCGCCGCCGCAGCGGCGCTCACGACCTTGCCCCAGAACGGCAGGTAAATAGTCACAGCGCTCATGCTGGCCATTTCAAGAAGACCCTTTGCTGCGCCGCTCTTTGAAGCCTCCATCGTAGCAATGTGCATGAGGCCAGCTGCGAAGTCCTCGCCAGTACCACTTCTCTCAAGATAAGCACTGCGTGGAAGTTTAGAGAATGCCAACTGAAGATGAGCTGTGATCTCCCGCGTGAACACAGATGAATCCGCCGAGTCGATCCCGCCCTCAGTGGCCAGCGTCTGATTCCACCACTCCGTCAGCTCGAACTTGCCGCCCTTCTGTTCCTCGTCGTCGGCGCCCGTGGCAGAAGCAGAGACCGCAGCGCCACCAGCTGGAGGAGCACCCGGCACAGCGCCAGCTGGAGTACCCTGATCGCCCAAGATGTCGACGGCGAGGGGGTTCACGATGGCGGCCCACGTATTCTCCAAGATAGAGGCCGCCATCTTCTGGTCTGAATGCTTCTTGTCGTACTGGGTCATGATCTCTGCGATGGCCTCCGTCCGTTTGCTCGGAAACAGCTCCATGGCCTTGCCGGCGTGCTGCGTGACCCCCGTCAGCTTCTCAGAGGCAACGAACTCATCCATCTGCTTGGTAGTGAACTTCTGTATGTTGTTATCCACAGCGTTCCTCGTGTTGATGCACTGGGATCCGTCATGCTTCTCGCAGTGGCTGCTGAACTCGATTATCTTGTCGACAATCTGATTGGACAGGTCGCTGAAGGTCATCTTGAGCGCGTCTTCCAACCTCGCCAAAGGTAATTCAGATGATGCCGTCATCTCGTTGGGGCACGCGTTCGCCAAGGTCTTCAAAACGTTGAGCAGCAGCGGCGGCGCATATGTCCGATCGACTACGTTGGGGCCATCTTGGAGCTTCGTGCTCATGGCCCCCACTAAGCTCAGGTTGATCTTCAAGGGGATCACCTCGTGGATCTCCGCTGGGAGCCCATCAAGGGCCTTCGAGCGGCGCTCCGAGCTGACGGTATCTAGCTGCCCAAGCGTACTCGCCAGAACATCCCATGCAGGCGGTGCTGCATTCTGAAGGTACCCCATCGCCCCACTAACCAAATGTCTCATGGCCTCGCCGACATTCACAAACGCCCCACCCTTCTCGACGATCAAATGCATGAGGCACATAACACAGTGGATGGCACTTGGCGCGAACTCGCTCGTGATCACGGGCTTGCCCAGCGGATTCCCCTTTCAAGCGATTTCGTTCGTGGCGATGTTTTGCAGCAGCAAGTGCACGACACAGTGGAGTAACATTCAAAACGCCGGAACGCCAGGGCCCTTGCCCCCAAAATGCTTTCGAAGAGCTGTCGTTGCACTTGCCACTGCAAAAAACTATCCCAAACGAAACCGCCGAACCTTCACGAACTTCACCAGGTCGGGTAGCAGCGAGGCCCCCTCCTCGAGATTATCATTCAACTGCGTGGCAAGGTCCATGGTGCTCTCAGCCGACTTCGCGCCCGGGGCCCCGCCGATCTGGTCAGCGAGAAAGTCTGGGTCGGACGTCCTCGGTGGAAGCGCGGCCGACTTGTGCAATTGCGTCTTGTAGAATTTCGTCAACTTGGAGTTGCCCTTGACATCCTTCGACACTCCGCCGAGGACGACCGACATCTTCTCGCCCAAGGCGCCAGCCAAAGCGCAGAACCGAAAATGTCGGATGAGTTCCTGCTGCGACGCGTCCACTTTTACCATGCACATGATCGCCTGGCCGAGCACGCCCAGGAAGTTTTTCTTACCATCTTCTTTACTCAGGAGGGGCTGGTGCTCCAAAGACTTGACCTTCTTCTTCTGGACATTCACCTTGCTGTCCGTCTTGGCCTTGCCCTTCTTGCCCTGATTCTCCTGCTTCGTATCCTCCGCCTCCCTCGCCGCCATGACCATCTGCTGTTGCTCTTCAGTAGCCTGCGCAGACGCGGCTGCCACCGCATCGTGGAGAACTTTGCTGTCGTCCATCTCCAAGAGGAGCGCGTCGATGGAGGCCTCGGTGACCCTTGCCGCTGCGGCTGCGCCTAAGCCCTGCGGCAAGAGCGCGCGCTCCCCCAAGGGCGTAGCAGCCGGCAGTATCAGGAGGCACACATCAGCGAAGTACTCGGCGTGCTCGGCCCTAAGCTTGCGGAAGATGCGGTAGATGTTGACGAAGATACTCGCGAACGAACAGGCGGCGGGGTGCGACAAGTCGCAGTGCGCATTCACGGCCTTCTCCAAAGCCTGCCAACAGGTGAGGCCTTTGTCGGGCCCCCTGTCAATGACGACCTTATGGCTCTCCTGGGCGACGCGCAAACGCACCTCGAAATGCCGAGGCCGATCGAGCCGGCCAGGCAATACTGAGCAGGGGAACTCGTGCTTCTTCTCCTCGCGCACGGCGTGGGTGAGGCTCGCGATCGTCCACTGCGTATCTTTATTGCGCCTCTCCCAAGCCTTCTCGATCCTCGCGGCCTCTCGGTGGCACTCCATGATCGTCTTCTTCGTCGCGTGGTCGTTGCCCTTGTTGCCGCGCCCCTTGAGGAACTTGGCGGCGTCGTTCGGGGCCTTCGGAAGGTAGATCTTGCAGCGAGAAAGTCCCGCTGCCACTGCGTGCGCCACCAATCTGTTCTCGGGGGTCGCCTCGTGCGCCATGTGCAGCGCCTCGACGGCAGTGGCCCAGTGCAAGCTGAGATACCCCTGCCCAGCTGTTTCCTCAACCAAGAACGGTGGCGACCGAATGTTCAGCGCGAACCCCAGAGACTGGATTGACTTCATGAGGCCTACGCGCGACCCGTAGTCTCCGCGGTCGTTCATGGGGATGGCGAGGGATCAACGGCTTCCCCGCATCGAAGAAAGGTAATGTCTTATCGGGCAAAGACCAGAACTTATTGCATAACTCGAACAGCTGCTCGTCTGGCGTGTCTCGGCCAAAACGCTCGTGGACATCATCGGATGTGTTCATCCAAATGTCGAACGGGGGCGCCGCTTCAGCAGACAGCAGAGCGTGGCGGCCATTACCCGAAGAAGCCAGCGGGGCCAGCTGCGCTCCTGGCTGTTCCGCCATGCGCGGTTACCCGTGGCCCCGCCTGGCGAGGCACGTGGAGCCTCGCGCCAGAATGGCTACGCAACTGAGGGCGCGGGCGTTATCCATCCATCGCCAGAGCTGGCCCACCGCCCTTGCCAAAGACCCCCCCCCCCCCCCCCCACCACCACCACCACGCACGCGCGCGCGCACACAGACGCACGCGCACGCACCCCCCCAAAAAAAAAATAATAAAAAATAAACAAAAACACGCCCCCCCCCCCCCGCCCCCCCCCCCCCCCGCCCCCCCGCGCCCGCCGCGATCGGCCCTATCCACACGCGCACTAAGACAGCCCGTTAACAAACATACAGGGGGGATGGGGTCCGCGGCGCAGGGAGAAGGTCCATCTGACGGATAGGATGCCGGGGTCGGCTGTCGGGCGGCATTCCCTTGACACAAAATGTCCAGGGGGGGCGTCGGGCCAAGGTGAGCTTCGGGGCGCCCCATGCCCCGAGTTGCTACGGGACGCCCCATTTGGAGAGGGCCCTATGGGGAGACCCTTTGGGGGGTGCGCTTTGGGGAGGGGGCGCGTTTGACATGGCATGTCGCGGTCGACCCGTTGAGGGGCCCTCTGGTTGCCATAGGATGTCAAGTTGGACTACTTGGGAGGCCTTGCGCTTGACATAGGATGTCAAGGTGAGCCCTTCGGAAAGACCTCTGTTTGACATACGCTGCCATGGTGGGCCAATCAGGGGGCCATCTGTTTGACATGGGGTGTCGAGGTGGGCCCCGTCGGGGGGGCATCTGTTTGACATAGGCTGTCGATGTAGACACGTTGGGAGGCCATCGGTTTGACAAGGGATGTCTAGGTGGGCCCCTTCGGGAGCCCCTCTGTTTGACATAGGGTGTCAAGGTGGGCCCCTCGGGAGGACCTATGTTTGACATAGGGCGTCAAGGTGGCCCCCTCGGGGGGGCCCCATGGTTGACGCAGGATGTCAAGGTGGGCCCTTCAGGAGGCTCTCGGTTTGACATAGGGTGCCAAGGTGGGCCCCTCGGGGGGCCCTCTGTTTGGCATGGGATGTCAAGGTGGGCTGTCTGGGGGGCCACCCTTGACATAATATGCCTAAGTTGGCCATGAGAGGCCCCTCCCCTTGACATGAGATGTCAAGGCCGTCTCCTGGAGCTTGCCTCCGAATGCTCAGCAGGGCGCCCAGGCTGATCTGCCTCGCGCTCTCTCTCTCTCTCTCTCTCTCTCTCTCTCTCTCTCTCTCTCTCTCTCTCTCTCTCTCTCTTTCTCTTTCTCTTTCTCTTTCTCTTTCTCTTTATCTTTCTCTTTCTCTTTCTCTTTCTCATTTTGTTTTCTCTCTCTCTCTCTCTCTCTCTCTCTCTTTCTCTCTATCTTTTGTTGTTGTTGTTTTTTTTTCATTTGTTGTTATTCCCCATTCGCTTCCTTCTCACATGCTTCTTCTTCTTGTTCTTATAATTTCTTTTTATCCTGTTTATACTCGCTCTCTACTAGTATTCGTTGTCTTCTTCTCCTTCTCTACCTCTCTCGGTGCTGTGCAGTGATTTCTGGTATTAGTGGTATGTTTATATAGATATATATATATATACACGCACTAGAACCACGCGCACGCTTCGCGCGCGCCCAGGTTCTAGTTAGGCTTCACCAGCACAGTACGCGGAAGGGCCGAACGCCAGCAGGCTTCGAGAAAAAGAACGATCTGTCCGCGGACAGGCGATTCTCGCTTTCATCCACCGGGCCCAGCAGCGGCGGCGCCGCACCTCGAATGCCTCGGGCGCGGGCCCCACCCAAGTCCATCCATCGGGCCCAGCAGCGGCGGCGCCGCGCCTCGAATGTCTGTCTCTGGCACGGACTCGCCAGCACGCGGGCGCCAGCCAGATCTCTGGCGCACGATTCGCAAGACAAGTACTCACCCCCCCCCCCCCCGCCCTCGCCCTCCCTCCCCCCCCCCCCTTCCTCCAATTAATCAAACTCCCCCGCCGCCCTCTTCTTCCCCTCCTCCCCCCTCCCTCCCCCCCCTCCCCCCCTCCCCGGCCTCGATCGGATCGCCTTTCTTGAGCGTCGCACGGGCAGATGCGAATGCCAAATGTAGGTGGTTCGCTCTGTGACTCATCTCCTGAACCATGCTGTTCATGCCTTCCAAGCCCTGCGCGTCGAAGCTGCAATGGGAACGCCAACCAACCAGGAAGACATACAGTGGCAATGGGCACGTGCCGAACTCGCGCGCGTGCGCGAAGTTGCCCTTGAACAAGCGCTTCACCTCCACCGTGGCGTCGGAATACTTGCGCCCCAGGCAGCAGTCGTCAGCGTTGAGAAGCTTGCCAGCGATACGCCGGCGCCGATGGCAATCAACTTCAGGTGGGGACTCCAGCATTCCGAGTAACTGCCATGGCCAGTCTTCAGCCGCATCCCTAAATCGCAGCTTCCAGTGCGCGACAATCTTGACGGTAAGCAAAACTATCAGGCAACGGACTTTCGGGCACTCTGATTCAGGAACCAGCTTCCAAACAGGACCCCACATCTTGGGATCATCGATCGTCGATGGGGTCAAGCTGGTCTGACAGATCCTTGTGCCAATCGTAAACTTCCCTTGTCAAGGAAACCGAAAATGGCGTAGGGCCCAAGTACGTGTCGGCATCTGCTCGCGCTTGTTTGACAACGGAATTGCATTCCTTAGCTACCGTCTGCCCCCAGTTCAAAGCTCTCGCGAGGACGCGCTTCACCGCGAACGAAAAGACGAGCATTGCCAAGAACAAAGGCGTCTGCATCAGAGTTGCAATGTTCTTATTGTATCTCGATTGTTGTTATTGGTATTCCTTGTCCTCGGCAGCCCCGACCTTCGACGCCTTGAACTTCTTCGCGCCCCTGAAGACAGAGATGATGACAGCCGCTAGCCACAACATTGCCTTGACCAGGATTTTCTCGACAGCGTCGAATGCGCCCCACCTCCCTCGCAACGCTCGGCTCGGGGCTTTGTTCATGCTGTTGGCCGCGTCTGCACCGAACATAACCTCTGTCTCGCTCCTGAGCTTTTCTGCGGCCCCAGAGTCTCGCCAAAGACTGGTCAAGGTAGCCGCTCCAGAAAAATATGACACAGGACAATCTGATGAATGGCGCCACTGGTCCAAAGCAGCCAGGACAACCTTCACAATCAAATGTAGCTGGAGGAACAGGCACCAGCACGCGCATAGAGTCACGCAGCCGACGTCCTCTACGATGGCCATCGCCCTTCTATGTTGTCAGGTCCTTGATCGAGTCCGATAGCATGCATCGAAATCTGTGGTGCTGCATCGCCCCCATGGAAGATCCTTGTCCTGGGGCGCGCGCAACGAGAAGTGAGGGCAACCGACAGAAGCAAACTGCGCCTCGATAGTCGCGTAGGTTTCGGCACCAGCCCCCAACCGCACAATCTGTAAATCGCAGGCTGTAGACGCAGATGGGGCGCTCGCCATATTGATGTCGAAGACCCGCTCCGCGGGAAGATAATCAGCCTGAGTGTCGGACTCCACTCGTGCGACTCGTGCTTCTTCAACGCCCAAGTGGTTGAGCGTGACTGAAGTTAATGTGCCCACGTGCAGCTTGTGCTTGTCTAGCATTTCCTGCTTCGTGCCGTCGCCCTTGTAGCAAACATGAAAAAACACGTGCAAGAATGCGTCGCTGACCTCGCTCGTAGTCGGCTTGAACGGGTCCACTCAAGCGAAGAAGTTCTTGGTGCAAATGATATTTGCCATGGCTGCCCTGTGCTCGAAATTGACAGCGGTCCTTGCAGAGCCATGGCGCAACTCTCCCTGATGTTCTCCCCCAACGACGAGCGCAGCCGTCAGGCCAGCCCCAAGATGGCCGCGGTTTCGCGACAAAGCCAAGCTGTATCCGCCAAGGGCTGCGACGTTGCGGCCAGGCCTGAATTGCACCGACTGTTTGAACGATTCCATTTCTTCATCCTTCTGTTTTGAAGCCTCCAGCAATTGTGAACATCGGCCTCTGTAGCGGGCACAACTCTCGCGCAATGTCTCCTTCTCCTTCTCCAACGATGAAATTTGACCATATCGAGCAACAATGGCGCTGATCAGCTCGTCATGATTGCACGTGCTGTACGGAGCTGGCACTAAGACATCATCTGCTGCAGAAAGATCAACGACTTCAGCTCGCTCAGCTCGGGGTGCCACGGCAGCAGAAGACGAAGATGGGGCGCCTTGAGCGTCTTGCAACTGGGGTGGCCTCGCTGGCGGGGCTTGTTCAGTTATTGGCAGAATCCGTCTTGAAGCCAACCGTTTATTGACATCCAGTGCGTTCAGAAAGGCTCCTAAATGATGATAGCCAAAATACTCCGAGAGTGCAGGCGCTCCACAGCGTAGGTAAGACTGATACGTGGACAGATGTTGCATCGTAAAAACTATTCGCGCCCGTTGCTGGATGTTTTAAGATACCCACCATTCTCCTTTTCAAGCTGGCACTGGTCACAGCATCCGCCTCGATCGTAAGCATCATGTTAGCCACGTCGAAAATCTTCACATGGCCCGTCGCTGCAATATGAGATGCAATCCCCTTCCCACGGCCGATTGTAATGGAAGTGCCCAGGAGAACTTCTGGATCCGGTGGCATTGTGACCCATGGGGCTCATGGAGGTGGCCTAGGAGACCGAGGGTCAAAATGGCCGACGGAGAACCTTCTGCGGCACTGCAAAGCACGGCTCATGCTAGTATTTCTCCACGGCACCGCCAGGCACGGCGCGCGGCATTGCGCGGCTCACGGCATTGCATTGCACG